TTCATCTTACAGTTCAAGATTTTTTCGACCATTATTAAATAAAATACTAAAAAAATAATAAATGTTTACTAAAATTTATTTTTTGTATGAAATTATCGTTGGATAAATGAATTTTATAAAAGTGTGTAAAAAATTTTCAGTTCGCTCCAAAAATTGTTTGAGATATAGCGAAATATGCAAAAAGTAAAGCTAACATTAAGGGGTCCAAACTTTATAGCGCTTTCCTGACCAAATTATTGGGTTCATATATACCAGATTGCGGCTATACCCAGATTGCGGTATTTTGAGGTTCACAAGTTCGAATTCGTCAAAAGAAGCTATGTTTAAAGTGCGTTTTGATGTCTGATTTCGTAACAAAGAGCATCGACTGCCTTTATTAAAATTAGTGCACTTGAAGACAGCCCCTCGATCTATCAAGATAGAGTCTTAAAATCCGATCATTAGATCAAAAGTTTTTCAGGGTGCTCCGTTTTTTTCCTTCTTTTTTTTTCTTTTTGGATCAGTGAACATTAGATTTTTTAGATTCATTTTACTTATTTTCCAAAATAAAATTCATTCCTTTCAGTTCATAGTAAATTTTTTATGGTTAATTGTGTGAAATGTGCTATTTTCCATAATTTAACTTCACGTTCCTTTACTGTATTAGATGTCCATCTCACCTCAATATTATGGCCACTTGTTAGTTTAATTCCAAGCAATTTTTTTTTCATATTTTGCTCTCAATATTTAATTATTTTTTCCCGAAAATGTGTTGAGTACCTGTATGAGAGTTTAAAACTATGCATAATCCTTTCTTATATCTCTGTTATTATTACTTTTATTTCGATTCGAAAAAACTATGGCCAACGATCCTGGACTTACTCTATATGAATTTATTCTATATTTCTGTTAAAACGCACGTTTTTTCAAAGATGTTTCTTTTTACATTTTTTTTAATTTATTGAAAACATTTTCACTATCGCTTAAAAATGTCTAGCAACATATTTAATTTTAAAACTTAAAGATGGAAAGATGGTGAAAATGTATAACTGTATATTTTACAAGCTAGAAAGATTTTAAAAAAGACTTTTTTTCTTATTCTAAAATTGCATATCTGCATGTCTTCATACGTATCGAATATTATTTTGTATAAACTGATTTGGGTGTATAAACTTTACAAAAACTGAATCTCAGTTTAAAAACTTGATTTAAACTATAGATATTAATCCTCTAAGGACATCTGAAAGTTAAAATTTATTTGTTTAGAGAACTTCATTCATGCAGAATTTTTCAACTAAAAGTTCATGCATCATTTTTTTAATTTGTTGTTGTTGTTACTTATCTCCGAAGGTCTGGCGGTGTCAGACCAGGTCCATAAAACCGTTGACGAGTAAAAAGTCGGAAACAAGGAGAGGACAAGTGTAAATTTCCCTAAGTAAGAAGTCCTAAGCAGCCTAAAATATGCTCGACTGAAGTCTGATGTTGGTGGCATTTCGGGCAAACAGGGTAAGATTTTATACCCTGAGAAAAAGTAAGAAATTTTAGATGTCCACTGGCAAGGCGTAAATTTGTTTAATTTGTGCAATTTGTTTACATCTCAAAAGATTTATTTATTAAGTTATGATTTATTTAAAAACTTATAACTATTCCTACCAACAAATTTCATTCATTTCAAAACAAATGAAATAATCCATTTATTAACTAAATTAGATTATTAATAATCAAAGTTTATATAGATATAATAGAAAAATATAGATATAATATTAATTTAATAAGTGCTTATACATTATCGAATGATTTATATGTATGTTTTTATATATAATGACCGAAATTGGTGGTAGTTGACATATCCACCGGTATACATTTGCCCAATATGCTCTACATAAATGTTTTCTTAAGATCAAGATCAAGTGCCACTGCACAGTATGTATTTAATCAGTATTCCGAATGTTTCACTGATGTTTCACCGAATCTATCCTCAGCAGAAATTTAAATATCGAATAACATCAACGAATTAATTAATATCAAATCGGATAGATCAAATATTTNTATTTCATGAATTTTGGAAATTATAAAAAATATATATATATATAGTAAATATATATAGTCAATTCATTATGAGATAAACTTCTATTAGTTTTAAATTTATATCCCTTTTTATGTTTCGAATCTTTCTATATAACATTCTTTTGCAAACAAATTAAACTAAAACAATCAGTTTTTTTAAAATAGTTTTTATAATTTATTAATATTTATTCTGAATTCTGTCACAAATAATTTAAAGCTAGTTTATTTAAAGCAAACAATAAATCTTTCCTCCCTCTTTTTCATTGTCTCAAGCGTTGTTTTCTGAGTTCACTAATTACAATTCCGAAGCACAGAATGCTAGCAACAATGGAATTCTCTAACTGCTGTTAATGATGCGACAACACCGTTTAAATGTCCCAAAACTTTCGGAATGCCTTATTGTAAAATAATAACAAAAAACTTTTCCGTTAAAGAATGCCATTAAATGTTATAAAAGGAATAGTTTTTAATTCTTTTCATTAATAAATTTTTCATTATTTCCTTTTTTTACAAGAGATAAAAAGCACGATTTATCTTAAATTCAATACGCGTATAGAAAAGAATAAATTTTTTTCTGAGACACAAAAAATTTATGTTTTAGCTTTCTCACATATTTTTAAAGTGTTGTTCTTAGATATGTAAAGATATTTTAAATTGAAAATTTTAAAGAACTCTTGTGCATTATTATGAACTATGCAAAGTAAAAATCAAATCGCTTTTCACCTTAAAAGTAATAACCAGTATATTTGTAAGTTAAAATTATTTTATAAAACCTTTAAAGTACTCTGAGAAAAAAAGTATAATAAAAGTTTGTAAAAGTTTGATAAAGTTAACCGTAAAATATGGTTTTATAATATGTAATGAAATTTCGTAAACTATGTAAAATTAAGTAGTTTAATTATGATGCCTTAGAGCTTGTAATAAAAGCAATTTATTCAATTGATTTTACTTTTCAGTCTTTTATTTTTTACTAGATTTGTATTAATAAAAATTATAATTTTGAAAACCAGAATTTTCTGTTAACTGTAGAAAAAATCGCCTAATGAAGGGTTTAAATACTATATATTTTGGTTTTATTAACCAGAACAATGATTTCTTTTAACAGGAATGCATTACCATACAGTACGATAATTTTAGCAGAATTTGTTTTTTCGTGTATCATTGTAGCTTGTCATTTATTTTAAGACAATAATTATTTAATCAGTTTAAACAGAATGTTCAAAATAGGGTTGGAAAATCCTGATAATCTCTGTCAACACACTTGAGAAGTTCATTTTGAAATTAGGAAAATTGAAATTAGGGGAATTGAAAATGTTTTAATCGCTGTCTTATACATATTTTTTTTTCGAGATGCAAACAAACGGGAAGAATTTTACGTTTTGCAATTCGAGGTAAAACTTAGCCCAAGTCATCAAGGTGACTACTCAGGGTGTGTAATAGAGTGGACCTTTTTAATTCTTTCCAATAGTATTTTGGAATCGGCCATCGACAAATATGTCGCAAAAAATCCAATGGTCATCTCCACGGAAAAAAATAGACCATTATTGTCACATCAGCGTAAATGATTGCGATATATGGAATCGAAATACAATCTCGACCAGCATTAAAAGAAGTTGCAGCGGATGAAGCAAGCTTGTACAGATTCAGAAACGGTGTCGATTCCTTCCATAGAAATGAGTGAGTAATCAAATAACTGGCACGGATTCGAAAAAACTCCTCATACATTGTAGAAATATGCTCTGTTATTTTAGTAGACGGAATTAGCTCGGATGGTTGAAAATCTGAAAATCCTTACTCTATTAGAATAAAGGAGCACGTAAAATCATTGACAGCACTAAGAGTTATTTTTGAAGCTGAGCTTTTACTTTATCTGGTAGAACTAAAGGATACCCATGAGCAGGTTCATTACATTTCCTAGTGCTATGTCCATTATAGTCCATTTATTTCAACCCAACTGATTACATTCGGTTTTTGAAACGTCCAATATAAATTAAGAGGAACAATTCTAACAAAGAAATAATTGTTATTTATATGATGCAATTTTTTAAAAGCTTTTTTTCCTGAAACATTAGAGGTTCTGTGTTATTAACAGCTTGGATACGTCTTTCTTAAACGTGTCTATTGCAAATATTTCCTTGAAAATTGCCATAATTATGTTTTTATTGGTCAACGAATGAGTTGCTGTTCTTTGTATTAAAAGGAAATAATTACAATCGGGGCTGTCCAAATAATATATATATATATGTTTAAAAACTTGAT